CCCTTAAGCCGCGGCCGAAGGAAAGGATAGGGGTAGCAAATAATCAGAGAGCTTGTGCAGACAGGCCTGCTTAAAGGCGCGCCAAATATCGCAGTAAAAGTTGACCAAGAGAGCGCTGCGAGCTTAGCGTTCCAAACGCGGGCGCTGGCCCCAAGGACCAACGCTTTCTGTTTCCACGTCATTTGTCTTTCCTGCGCCGCTCTCGGAGCCGAGGGTCCTGTTGGGAGGGTGCTTTGCGAATTCAAAATCAATTTTGAAACCGGAAGGCAGGGGCCCTAGCTCGAAAGCCAGCCGCATGTGTGCACACACGACCCTCTTACGAGTCAAAAGCCCTACCTTCCGAATTCAAAATCGATTTTGAATTCGTAAGGCGCCCTCCCAACAGGACCCTAGGCTTGGAAACCTAAACCAAAAGGATTAGGAGGTGTTGCTTGCAGTTTTAGACTTGTTAGCCTGAGGGCGTGTGCTAGCTGTTGTTTGGCAATCTTTAGCTTCGAAGTCCTGTGTAGCTTTAGTTGTTGTCTTGCAATGATTCATTTTTTGGTTTGCGGGGAAATTGTTTTTGGGCTTCTGATTTTTGCCGCTCGCTTCCCTATAACCAGGGTAGCTTATTAGAGGGCCAAAACTGTTCTATCCCCTTTTCTGACGAATTTCCCGAACCAAAATCACCTAAACAGCTCGGCTCTATTACCCAACCCTGACCTACTAGTAACCTAACCTCATTAAGACAAGACATGGCGCGTTCAAAAACTGATATAACATTTGGAGGTTGCTTTAAATTTAGGAGATAACTTTTTTAAATTGATTTTTTGTGGTGTGTGATCGAACATAGTTAAGCTGGTCATGGCAGTCCATTTAAGCCCCAGAAGAACCTGCTTTGAAGAAATAACTCAAAGCACACACAAACGCATTATTTAAACTAAGAAAGCCACTTTAATATCTCACCAAAACACGGTTCAGAAATAACACGCAAACGCCGCTCAATTGTTTTGGGACGCACAACCATGTGCCGGGAAAGCTTGAGACATGAGGCCTTGCATTTTTTTTGGGGGGGGGCAAATGTTTTGCAACACCTGTGAGCTGGCAATTTCGCAACAAGAGTTTTTTCAAACACATGTTTTGGGTGGAGACTTGGGGCTGTAATAGTTTATACTGGAGACTTGAGGCCTGGCAAATTAGGGGCCTGAGTTTTGAAGAGCGCGTATTGCGCTGGACTCGTGGTGCTTGGTATTTTTTTAGCAGGAATTTTGGAAGCCAAACATTTTGGCTCGATACTGCAGGCCTCGCAATTTTTTGAGCGAGAGTTTTGGAGAGCAAAGATTTGTGCTGGACACTTGTGGCCTGCCAATTTTGAAGCAGGAGTTTCGGAAAAGAGGTATTGGGCTCAAACTTGAAACTTGCCAATTTGAGAGCATGAGATTCGGACAGCAAAGATTTGTGCTGGACTCTTGGGGCCTGCCAATCGGGGTGCGCGAGTATATGAAAGCAAAGAGTTTGGGGTCTAACTTGAGGCCTGCCAATTTGGGAGCAGGGGTTTTGGAAGGCAATTTTTGTGGGGTTCCAAAAAATGTTGGAAAGCAATTATTTGCGCTGGAGACTTGAGGCCCGGCAGTTTTTAGAGCATCAGTTTTGGAAAGCAAGCGCTTGTGTTGGAGACTTGAGGCCTCGCAAATTCAGCGCATTCGTGTGTGGCAGCGAATGTGTGTGTGTTGGAATCGCGGCGCTTGTCAATTTTGGGAGCAGGAGTTATGGAAGGCAACCATGTTTTGGTGGCGGCTTGAGACCTTTGGAAGGCAAATTATTTTGGTGGACACTTGAGGCCTGGCAGTTGGAGGCAGAGGTTTTGGAAAGCAAAGCTTTGTGCTGGAGACTTGAGGCCTAGCATTGAGGCTAGGTAATTTGCGTACAGGGGTTTTGGAAAGTAAGGAGGCTACAGGAGTTGTTCGCAGCACTTACTTTACGTAGGGACTCGGGGCCTGCCAACTTGGAAGCAGAGGCTTTCCAGCCAGACTTTGAACTGGAGACTCTCAGCTTGGACATTTTGGGGACAGGAGGTTTGGAAATCAAAGGTGCGCGCTAGAGACTTGGGGCTTGGCAACTTTTTTGAGCGGGAGCTTTTCAACACACATATTTTGGGCAGAGGCTTGGGGCCTGCCAATTTGGGAGCAGAGGGTGTGAAAATTGGAGACTTGGGGCTTGGCAATTTGGGAGCATGAGTTTTGGACAACAAAGATTTGCGCTGGATACTTGGGGCCTGCCGATTACGTGGCGTATTTTTTTCAAGCACAGATTTTGGGCGGAGACTTGAGGCTTGCCAACTTGGGACCAGAGGTTTTGGAAAGCAGCGATTTGTGCTGGAGACTTGGGGCCTGGCAATTTCGGGCGCAGGAGTTTTAGAAAATGCTGGAAATTTGAGGCCTGGCAATTTTTGGGGATTGAGTTTTTGGCAGCAAAGATTTTTGTTGGGCAATTGGGGGCCTGCCAATTTTGGAGCAATAGGTATTGAAAGCAGGCTGCGCTGGTAGTGCTTGAGGGCTGGTTGCGCGAGCTAAAGAGCACTGGTCACCTCTAGATCAGAGCGTAGCTTTAGTTTTCCTTTTGCACCCTGAAAAGGGTGCCAGCTCAAGCTGCATCGCCAGGCTTTCTACTTTTTAAGACCATGTCGGAGGCAATCAACTAGTTCGTTGTCTTGGAATGCCGTGCTTTCCATTTATAGTCAACTCACAAAATCATGATGTTCAATTCATCTTGCAGCGGTTTCTTTCTGCCGAGGTGTCTTCTTGAGTACCGATCAGATCACGCGCAGACGCGCAACCGAACAGTGCCGCCCGGCGGAGAAAGCATGGTGACCTGTTTTTTTCTCCCTGTGAGAAGTTTCATGGCGACTCTACAAGGTATATGCTCGGTTTTGCTTGGGGGGCGTTGGTGTCGGGTACGGTGCCTGGTGGCAAACATTGAGACTCTTTCTTGACACTTTCTGTATGTTTTGTTTGGTGTTTTTGTTGTTTTCTTTGGGAGGGGGGGCAGGGTGGGAGGCAGGACCTCCACAAAAAAGAAAAAACAGTAGTCATACAGAATCAACCACCTTGGTATGACCGATGTTGGGTTATTTCCCACAACCTGATGAGCTAGTGCGTCTTTGTTTCACATCGAAACACGTACTGAAGTCTGGACATGTGCTGACAGGGCGAGAGCCCGTAAGGGCATTTGAGCACGAGTTTGGAGCAGAACTCTTGGATTGTGTCAAGGTACTTGGCAGGCTATGAGAAACGGAAGTTGCACTCCTCAGTTGGTTTGACTGAAGCTGTTTGACCTGGACTGCCGCAAGGCTGCATGAGGAGGTGGAAGCCATGAGAAGGCGGGCCGAGCATGAGAGGAAGGTTCACAGAGCTGATTTCTGGCGTGGAGACGTCACCGGTGTTTGGCCCCCCCGATTTGGAAAGGGCAGGAAGTGCAAAGAGTCCGGCACAATGTGGAATATCTCACAGTTTGCAAGCCAAATCCTGTCATGTGCCTTGGGCCCTGCTTTCATGCGCAATGCCACAGGAGTGTAGCATGCTGCCATGACGGACCTCACGCTCATGCGGAAATGAATTCATCTAAGAAAAGATAAATCCCCATCAGCAAACTTCTGGGGGAATGCAGAAAAGAGCATACAAATCCCTCATGAACGCATGATGTGCAGGCTGACTTGCCCCCATGGTCTGTCTCCAAAACGGGTCCAGGACGATGCTGGCCGCTCCACAGCTTGGGAAGGCCTTCCGGGGCGTCCACCCTGGATCACAGTGGGTTCTTTGGCCGACTGTGCTGAAGAAATGCTCAAATCCTGAGTTCCTGGACTTTAAGCTTTTTGGGAAGACCGTTTGAGTGAAAATACACAAAGTTTGGGAGCCACTCGGGAAGTGAGAATTGGAAACGGCACGGAGCTTTGCAGGAGGCTCAGATTGTTTCGTGACAGAAGAATGGTAGAGGAGACAACTCCATTGAGCTGCTGCATGGAAGGAAGCTGTGAGGGTTGCCCCGTGACGCACTTGCAACAGGGGAGTCTGGTGTTTTTCCCATGGGCTGATCATGCGCTTTGCCAGGTTAGGGGTGTAGTGGGTGAGGGGAGTTGGGCTGCTGGCAGTGACCGCAGGATGTGCAGAATCGAGCTTCCATGATCGGGCGGCGAGCCAGTTTCCGCTTAGCCTGACGATTTCAGGCCATGCTCCCCACCCGAAGGCTTTTGCATACCAAGGATGGGCCGGGAAATAGAGCTTTAAGTCATAGTCATAACCATGTACTGTCATAGTAAGTCCAAAGGAAACACAGTGCCAGTGATCAATGCTCTCGAGTTCGTTCAGTTGCATTGTGTGCAGTTTGACACTCGCTGCGCTACGATTCTCACAGCGCTCTGTATGTCATTGTTTTACCATACCAGTGGTCCAGATTTCAGCAAGACAGCCGCTTATGAGCGCTTCACCCGCTTTCACCAAGTGAAAGCTAAAGCATAGACCATGCCGATGGCACCTGCGGCGTAGATTTAGGTTGATTCGCTGAAGTCCAGAGTCAGGTTTGCAAATGAGCCTGAAAAGGCTGTGCTCAACGTGACGCGGCGCTGGATTGTAACTACCTTTGTCGTCAAGCATCCCCATGGCGCATGAGAGGCAGCAGACAAGCAGTTGCCGCCAAGTGCGACGTTGCATGCCATGCCACACATACTGCTTGCCGGTCTCAAGTCGTTCTGGCCCAACATGAGCCTTGTTTTTGGCGCTGCCTTGGTGACCTCCGAATATGTAATCGGAAGAGATGGCCCATGCGCTAGATCAGCAATCGAGCTAATCAAAACCTCCCCAAGATTGCGGATAAAAGATCGGACTTCCGATCTCAGCGTAGCGAGGGATAGCGGGCGAACGATTGACGGCACAATCCCTCATTGGTGTAGTGATCCCTGACCAGAATAATAATGATGAAGAGGATGAAGCGGAACGTGATTAAGCCCAAGATTTCGAAGTGGCTAG